CATATATGCATCGGTACAAGTTGCCGTACCGCATTAGTACAGCAAGATGAACACCGAATTCATAAAAGTAGTTACTTCAGTGGTAGTAATTTATAAAAGAAAGATTCTGTATAAGGACATAGTATAGAAAGAAAGAATTACTTCGTAGAAAGAAAGATATGAAGCAATTTTAATCTCACAGTTTGAAGGAAGGCGATGTGTGTATACACCTACGCTATTGTGATCGATTCTGAGCCATATCACACAGAGTCTCCAACCACTGATTATAATAGTCACGCGGAATCCAACCAAGTAGTCTGCATCTACAAGTTAGTGACTTCAAGCACTGATAACACGTTTTGGTTTGGCCGCCCCTTACTTTCTTCCAACCGTCTCTAACACCAGTCAGCATTGCCTGTCGTGGTAATCGGTGTTCAGGTATGCGTAACACGTGGCCCAACCATTTCAATCTGTGAAAATTTACAACCTCATCAACTCATTTACCATTATTCCCTAATACCTTGCATCTAACATTAATATTACTTACCCGGTGATCCCAGTAGATGCGAGTAATATTTCTAAGACATCTGTGATCAAATACTAGTAGCTTACGAGTATCTTCTACTCTTAATAACCACGTTTTGCAAACATAAACGAGCTTTTCGAATCTATGCTGAAATTTCGTAGGACACCAACCCTTTTGTGCTGATCAAACTTCCAAGATAGGTGAAAATGTCGACGTATTTGACTACTTCTCTCCTTATCGTTAGTTCAGGTGTTGAGGCGGGCCAGTCTTGAAACGACTACTTGCATTTAGAAGCAGAAAATTCATTTGATAATGTTATTACTTATTATCCATGCATTTGTTAAATGTATGTGATATATTAGTTGAATACCTGACCAAGCATGGTGTAAAGAAGCAGATTGACTACTTAATCTTATACTTTATCCTTGTTGTGATTCAGTTTATTATTCACAAGAAGTGCATGAACACCTTAGATGAATATGGTTTTTTTAAAAAGCATTCCTCTTCAAGCCTTTATACCCTATTCATTATCTTAAGATCATGAAGACTATGTGTATTTTAGGGATGGAATCCGAGTTTTGTAACTATTCTAGATGGATCCTTTTTATTCACTAACTGCGTTTATGATCCGAACTTCTTGTTTTAGCCTTTTTAATTTCGAAAAAGTATCTTATTACATGAAAATAGTAAGTAAGACTTTCCTGCAAAAAATTATGTACGTGATAAGTCGTGTAGGTTGAACGCTATATACGATTCCTAAGCTATTCCCGTAACCCGCAGACTAGAACTACACAGCGACTCGAACTCCAGAAAGAAGACACAAGTATGAGAGAAAACACTTTATCCCATGGTTCATTTTAGTACAGAAAATCAAGGGTATTTATAGATGTTGGCGTCTGTTAAATCAACATCATATTTCAGCCAATCCGTTAACGTCATATTATGCTACCGACCAATGGTAGTACGCCACACTGGAATTCTTGAACGTTCCATCATACTCTGATTGGCTAGGACTCTTCGGCTCCTTTTGTGCCTCTGGAGGCTCCGTTGAAGTTCTCCGGAAGCCGACCCAACAGTACGGATGACTGTGTGATTGCACTTTAAGAGGTAGTCTCATCTCCTCTTCTTTTTCATAAAAGAGGTTTTTTTTAAAATCAACTTTCTTAATAGATTCGTATAGTTGTCGTTTTAATAGTTCTCTTTGTTTTTTTCAATTTAATTAACAAAATTTTATTAAAACAATACACTCATTAATTAATGAAAACATGAATATAGTTAAGTAAGCAACAATGTGTTTTCAACGATTATATACAGTCATTAAAGAACTCAGAGAATGATATCATCAAAAAAAGAAAGTTAACGTATTCTATTGTAGTGAACAAAAACACATGTGAGGACAACCAACTGTATCTGAACACAACGTCTTGATGTAATCTAAGAATTATATAGTAAATACTTCAATTTATTAATCGAATTTATGAGTTAATTAAAGGTACATCACCATGGAAAACGTGGAACCACTGGACAATCGTTTTGTCCTAATATAGGACTCATCAGCTGTGCGCATCCACGGTTCCGCTGAGGACTCTCATAGTAAGACGAAACAGCCATCCAGTGCTTCCACGTTTTCCATGGTGACTGTTATGACTTAAAGTCGGGTCGACTTTTTACCCTGTGCTAATTGTTGTGTCCTTGACTGGAAAAATTAGAGAGCAGCGTATTTATCGATCGATTCAATGACACGTAAACACATACGGACGGCCTAGAGTCTCGATTGATCCCGCTTGCCTGTCTAGCCCAGTAAGTTGAGTCCAGAACACAAGTCACAACCTCTGAGATATGAATCATTGTATTTCAGACATACTCTATTTATATACTAACGAAAAATACCACATCGTACCATAAAAATAGAAAACAACATTTGTACAATATTTAACGGATAAAGTAAATAACGGCCAATAGGAAATGTCCATTTAACGTCCAAGGACATCATTAGACTTAACATGATAATGATTGGCACATTATTCTGCATCCATAACAGTGACGTAGCTTTGATTGCCTCATAAATTTGATTATTAAATTACTATAATATCCACAAAATCCCTTTCTGATTTAATAGTCAGTTGTAATATTATGGTGTACATGGGCTCCAGGAGCCTAAGGAAACAAGTGGCGTATGAACCAACTGTTGTTCACCGGCTACCATGGGACTGCATCTCCTTACGTTGCTCCACTGCCTTATGTATCAGACCTTTAATTCGAAGGCTCTAGATGTGGCCTCCTAGGAAAACCAATTTCTTCGGGCAGTATAACAGCCCACACATAAATAGAATTATTTATGTGGCGCATATCTATTTAGTGCCTCTTTTTACCAACGTTTATGTATTTAAATGAATAAATAAGTAGTTAATTAATCTCTCCATCGTGTGAACAACCATTAAGTGACAGCCGCCCTGACACTTCTAATATCATGCAAGATTGTTTGTGGCACTTGCTGATAGTTGAACGCTATTAATTGAGGTTATGCCTAATTATCTATGGGACATATTTAAATACACTAAAATATGTATACATCTCGATATCATTTGCTAGTACAACGTTCTATTCCTTCTTAATCTATTTACTTAGCTTGCAGATTGAGTTCCTACATAACAAGTGTGCATATCAGTATCACGATGAAATATCTACTTAACCTATAACATTAACCTTCATCCTTGAATTCCACTACTAACCATAACTCATCTCTTCTATTAAATTATTTGTGCTTCCATTTATCCTACATAAAGTAATTTTGTATTCTACAATACTCTTCTATTTATCTTATTTGTATGTATCATATTCTTTTGTTTATTGTTTACATTTGTGTAAATATTATTTTAAGCAAGTTGGAGGGGGGGGGGAATGAAGGCAGGGGTTTTGCTGATCTTTGTAATTTATACTATGAACTTTCTGACATATTTTATTTATTACCCTTTAGTGTTTCCTATTTCTTGTTGTTGTTGTTGTTGGTTTGTTTATTTTTATTTTCCCTTTCTCTTAAAGACGATAACATTTTATCTTGGTCATTTTTGTTGTTGTGTACTGTACACACACACACACACACACCACATCCTATTATGTATATTGGTATTTTTATTCCGATTGTCACTTGCCAATAATTTGACATTTCTATTATAGATATATATTCACGTAAATATTTATTTATTGTTCATTTCCATGTGAAGTGGCTACAAGATAAACCATAATAATAATAATAGTTTTACTATTACTTGTTACTACTATTCTAAGTAATAGTAATAGTGATCATAGAATTGTTTATTTAAAACAATCATTGAACTACAATATATCCATCATGTTGTTTCATTCAATTATTCTAGTCTATCTAAAGCTTGTACATCATTATTTCGAGGAGACTGGGTTGAATAAGACTATATTTGATTTAGTGTAGTTGAATATTGAAAATTCTGTATATAGGATGAAGTGACTAGATCCTTTCTGTGTATGTGTGTGTGTATCTGTGTTTACTTTTGTATTCACACTAGTTCATGTAGTATGTATAGTATTTTATTCTTCTTGTATATTTGCCTATTTTATTTCATAACTTTGCTTTACGAGTTACTATTTATGGATTATTCTAGTGTTTTCATAGTTTCCTGTATAGTTTTCATTTTTCGTGAATATGATTGTAATCTACGCCATCTTATTCAATGAAGTTATTCTATCTTAAACATCTAATGATTTTTCTAATTGCTTGGTTTCTTGTATGTATTTAGGGGTTTATTGAGGTTAGAATCATTATAAAAGAAAAACGAAACCGATAGATCGTTGGTTCGATTTCCGCTAATAGGATCATTGATACGCATTGTTGAAGAGTCTTATACTAGGACAAAACGGCCTTCTAGTATTTCCAGGTTTTCTATGATGGTCTAGCTTTAATTAACTCATGGATTCAACTACTAAATTACTATAATATCCACAAAATCCTTTTGCGAAAAGATTTGTTTGAAGTTAGACATTAACACCGTTAGATGCCGGCTCAGTGGTCTAGTGGTTAAGTGCTCACGCGCGAAACCAGTAGGTCCTGGGTTCGAATCTCGCAGGGGGTGAGGTCGTGGATACGCATTGTTGAGGAGTCCCATACTAGGACGAAACGGCCGTCCAGTGCTTCCAGGTTTTCCATGGTGGTCTAGCTTCAATTGGCTCATGATTTCAACCAGTGAAAAAAGAAAAACGTTAAGATATTCCACTTGATTCACTGCGATACATCAGCAGTATTTAGTATGATCAATCATGAGATCTACCTACGTTCATGATTTTCATCGACACCATCAAAAAGCAAGTCAACTACAGAATATTTGTCAGTTTCCTGAACTAAATTCAGGATGAAGTGGGATCTAAACCTGTTACTCAATGGATAAATATCTGTCTTATTCACTTTGCTGTAAATTTATTTATTATTACCATAATATTTGTTTGTTTTCTTTTTTAATTTAAGATATATCAAATGGATTGAACAAAATTATCCTTCATTAGGCAAATGTGCTGACTTACAAAATGTTCTCTATCGATCCATACGAGATTCATCCGACTTACCGGGGATAAAAAACAATGATACTTATGTGGGAAATTGGATTAAACTTGTGAGTCCAATGTATTGCATATATATATTCTGTGGATATACTGTTGAATTCGAAGCAAGTGATAGAGATTTCGACTTGTTAGTAGTATATTCAGTAGTTTTTAACTGACATTTAACACTATTGGTTAACTGACATGTTCTTTGATTGTACATATCATCATTCCGTTGTTTTGTAATCATCATAAAAGTAGATGTAAGTGTACGTTAGTTCAAATATCTGCAGCAAATCAAGATAATAAAGAGAAACTATATATATGATCAGTAGGGGTTGAAACAATGAACACTTTACGTAATTCACAGCCTTATCAACTATTGTACACAGTTTCTTATGTTTAATTTATGTATATTGTGAAATATTTTAAATACGCTCAAATCATGTAGTAGGACCTCCTTATACTGTTTATGATCTAGTTTATAGTGATAACATAAAATGTAACATGTAAAAATAGGTGTTTCAATGTTTCATTATTTGTAATGGTTAAAAATACTGTACCAATAAAATAATGAATTATCGGATATTGTATGATTGGTTACTGTCCTATTAATATATGACGTTATGATATCGACAATTAGAGAACAGTGAATTATCGACTGGACCAATGACGCATAAAACCTGGACGAGCAATCTAGAGTCCTTATCGCTCCTGCTTCCCGCCTAACCCAGCCAGTTAAGTCCAGAACACCAATCTCAGCCTCTGCAATATGAATCATTGATTTCAAACATACTGGGTTTATATACACCAACCAAACAGACCACATTGTACCATAGAATAAGAAACAACATTTGTACAAGATTTGACCAAAAGTGGCTGTGAATGTTGGAGATAGTAATTGATAGACTGGGTATAACTCAAGAATGGTAAATCATAGTTTATAGGTCAAAATAAAGCTCATAATAAGGGGAACACAAATATGAATAGTTTAGTTATTTAACAATTATACGTTAAAAATATACGTTTAGTATTAGTCCAGAAATAGATCCCAACAGTTACCATTCATTATTCTCATCGCGATATAACAGTTGCGACCAGAGATATTTATGCTAAATTTACTACACTTTGCATAATCTTATGGAGGTGTTAGGTTAAAGGTCACTCACGTAAAGCTCATATGTGATCGATTTCAAAGAGTTTTTTGTTGGGGACCATGGTCAAGATCCCAGGTTGTGTAGGCAACAAATAATCTAATTTACACTTCTTTGTTCGTCGAGAAGAACAATCCTTTTAAGGAGTGGGAAGTCATACTTCTAACAACACTCGATATCAATTCATAGTTTACTCATTTCATTATGTAAAGTAAATGATCTTTCATGCGAATATATATTGAAGTAAGCAATGCGGTGGTCGACTGGATTATGAAAACTTCGACATCTGAGGAAAAACGCGGAATACAATGGACAGCTCAGAACCAATTAGACGATTTGGACTTCGCAGATGACCTAGCCCTCCTATCCCATACACACGAACAATTGCAGATGAAGACAACTAGTGTAGCAGCAACCTCTGCATCAGTAGACCTCAACATATACAAAGGAAAAAAGCGAAATCCTGAAATACAGCACGCACAACACCAACCAAATCACATATAATGGCGAAACTCTGAAAGATATGGAATCCTTCACATACCTGGGGAGCGTAATCGATGGATAAGGAGGATCAGATGCAAACGTAAAGGCGAGAATCAGCAAAGCAGGCACGGCATTCCTAAAACTGAAGAACATATGGAACTCAAAACAACTGTCAAACAATTTCCTACTGTACGAAGCTGAAACTAGGAGAACTACTACAACCATCATCAAAAAGCTACAAGTATTTATAAACAGTTGTCTACGCAAGATACTCAACATCCATTGGCCTGATACCATCAACAACAGTGTTCTCTGGGAGAGAACAAACCAAATTCCAGTTGACGGGTAAATAAGGAATTGTTGGAAGTGGATAGGATACACATTGTGAAAATCACGAAACTGCATCACGAGGCAAGACCTAACTTGGAATCTTGAAGGAAAGCGGAAAAGAGGAAGACCAAAGAACACATTACGTCGGGAAATAGAAGTAGATATGGAAAGGATTACCCAAGACAGAGTTGGATGGAGAGTGCTGGTGGTCAGCCTATGCTCCTCCATGAGGAGTAACAGGCGTAAATAAGTAAGTTAGGAATGTGCTTTTCTACATATCTTTGTGTCATATATTTATGTTTCTATATGAACCGTTGATGTTATTCACTTGTTCAATTTATAATAATTCGATTAGTATTTGAACTTAAAAGTTCAGTGTTGTACTCATCAGGTTACCAATTCAGCATATATATATACCGAAAAATTACAATATAACTAGTCGTTCGTCATCGTCTATATAATGTTTTATTATAAATCTTCTTTCGGTAATTTCCTTTGGTTGCTATGATGGGTTGTGTTTTCTCTGTTGTTGTCTCAGTTTAAAGAAGAAAAAAAATAAAACAACAACAGACATTCATCATGAATGCTTTTATCAAATGAATTAATGTAACTTATCTCTTGTTTACCTTGTCTACATTGTATTTTTTTTTCTCTTCATCTAAAATGAAATAATGTTTGTCTGATAGAAACAATTTCGATGAACAATTAACTAAGTGAGCGAGTGAGTGAGTAAGGGAGTGAGGGGGAGGGAAGTAGGGAGGTAGGGAAGGGAATGATTCAATGAATGATACATTAGATAAATGAGTAAATGTACTATTTTGTAGACAAACATAATAACTTGATAAATTTTCTTTCAATAAACAAGATCAAAGTAATGACATAGTATTAGATATACACATGTGAATACAGATGCTTATTTATTATGAATTTCAGCTCATTTATCATTAAATGAAAATAAATAAAAAGAACAAATTACTTTTTTCTATCATTTTTATTCTTTGATTTCTCGTTAATCACTGGAAGTGTATCGAAATAGTATAAAAAATAGAATACATAGTTAAACAAATCATGTTTTTCTGTTCATCTCTCTCTGTGTGTGTGTGTGTGTGTATTTGTTGTTTCATTTTACTTGAGTCCATAACATTGTAACTGTAAAAGAATAAAGTAATTCGTTTGTATTTTAATGTATATATGCCTAAGTTTATATATTGTAGACATATGTGCCCCCCCCCCAAATGCTTTGGTACGACTGAGAATGGGGAGAGTCAACTTTTTCACTCGAAATGATTTCACATGGCCACGTGCATACAATCACTGCTAGCGAAGTCTTACTCACTGCTTTCTCTTAGCCAGAGCGTTGTTTACGAAATTGAGAGAATGAAAAGCGGATGTTTGGTGCTTTAGCCGCGTTGGTGGATACGAAGGATCCACCTAGGGGAGTTGGAAAACCCTGATTCCAAACCAATGGTGCACATGGACTGGCTCCAGGATCTTGATGGGAGAAATGGCGTATGAACCTATTGTTGGTTACCGGCTACCATGAGACTGCATCTTCTTACGTTGCTTCACTGCCTTGTGAATTAGACCTTTAGGCTCCGGATGTGGCCCTCTAAGGTAACCACCTGCTGTGGTTTAGGCACCCGTGCAGTATCACAGCTCACACACAAATCAAATGAGATTTGTGTGACGCATATGTATTTGGTACCTCGTTGTACCAATATCTATGTGTTAAAATAAATAAATAATAATAAACAAGGTATCAACCTGATATCCTGTATGAAGAAAATGTTTGATAACTACACTATTATTACACTTTTATTATGTAATTCTCTTTCATCTCATCACCTTGTTTTTATCTTTACATAATATTTTAGACAGAATATTGTAATCAACCAACTGAATTATTTGAATTATTATTTCGACAAGGTATTGGTACAATGTGTTCTGAATTCTATGTTACATGGTGTCAATTACTTGAAAAAAACAAAAATTATCGTAAAATTGCTTCAATTTATGCTCATGGTTTACGTGCTGGTGCTAAACCTTTATTATGGTTAGAAGATAGAGCTGAGTAAGTTATATTAGTGATTGAATATGTTGAATTTTATGTAAATCGTTCTTTTATTTACATGACATGCTGATTGATTGTATTAATTCACTCATATGGTGTACGTTTATGTACTTAATACACAAATTTTTGTACAAGTATTACTATGCGAAGCATTTGATAGAATCGAAGATGCCACCTACAGGTCAAGTTTATAGTGCTGAAATCAGTAAGCCTACTAGTCAAGCCTATAAACGATTGACACTGTAAATAAAAAGAATGAATCTAGTCATCCATGTCAAGGTTCATGCTTCTTATTGTAGCTTATACCTATTTAGACTCTTGTTAATTGAAATATTGAATCGAATAAGCTAGTAAGTCATACGCAACGTGGAACCTGGTATATGTGTTCATCAGTTAAGGTTATTAGGCAGTATTATTTTAGACGCTAGTCGCTTAAGGGGGGAAAAGCTTACTATCGTCACACTTTAGAACAGTTAGTAGTACAAATTCGTCTTCAGACCATCAATTTGCTACTTTTAGTCCTGTTCCCCAACCGACCTATCCTAACATCGTTGTGATCTTATGAAACAATTGTTTCAACCCATATTACTCTATTGAATTACTACAATCGATAATTCTGTCTGATATGTCATAGTTGCAGCTACAGTCTGGAATTCGTCACTTACTGTTATATTGTTTGAGTTAAACGTTTATTATTTTCTTATTAACCTATTCTAATTGTTATGATATAATCTAGGTGTGTATATCCCTTACGTCTTAAATTAAAGTTGTTTTTCACTTATCATCCACTAAACTTTTGAGGACGTTACATCCACAGGACTCCCTTGGAAAAGGTCCTAATTTTGTAATTTTATTCTGAAATTTTGGATTTTATGTTTACGCGCTAAGAGACGCTTAGTTGACTTACAACATACATTTCCCAGTCGGAAATCCTTGACTGTCATTGATTGACGGATTTTTTAGTACGCCTATTTTGTGGCTCTGCCAATGGCGTTTTTTTTCATTGTATCAATAAGCTTGATTTGTGAGCTTAGTGACCTTATATTTTTTGAATGCTTGTAAAATGCATTCTCTACGCCTCATTAAGATTTCTTGATCCTAGTCAGCAGGACCGTGTACAATGGATTAGAATAGCCTATCGTTTCACTGTATCTTTGACCTTCATTCCGCTTACTGAGTAAAGTGAACTCGTAATAACATTCAAGCATATGATAAACAATAAATCACACTGTATTGGGCTCAATCGTTTAAAAGTATTGAACAAGTTTTGATATTATTTGCATCAAATTCCAATACAGTTGGAGTTTCAATATTACCATTTACACAATAATTGTTAGCATAATTATTTAATTTTGTCATGAAAACCTTCCGGTTACTTGGAAGTCTAAGAGGAAATGGATAACTCATTGGACTTTCAAGTACAAAGTCGTAATTGCTAACCTCATTGAACTTTCAACTACTTCAAGTTGTGTAGCTTAATGTATACCTGGTGAATAGATTTGATAAAGTTGTTCTTGATGTGTATCTTCGCTCACCTCCTTTAAAAAGTTTCCATAATTTTTTTTATACGAAAAATTATTTTGATTACTGGTTGGTATTCTTTTACAATAATATTTCCTTCTTTTCTGCTCTTCCTAATAGTATTTATTATTTTTAAGAACTATAATAGTAGTAGTAGTGAAGTTATGAATGTTCGTCAATTGAGATTGATAAAGCATACTTTTACTTACTTACGCCTGTTACTCCCAATGGAGCATAGGCCGCCGACCAGCATTCTCCAACCCACTCTGTCCTGGGCCTTCTTTTCTAGTTCCATCCAATTCTTGTTCATTTTTCTCATGTCTGTTTCCATTTCTCAGCGTAATGTGTTCTTTGGTCTCCCTCTTTTCCTTTGGCCTTGAGGATTCCATGTGAGGCCTTGTCTTGTGACGTAGTTGGGTGCTTTCCTCAATGTGTATCCTATCCAATTCCAGCGCTTCTTCCTGATATCTTCCTCCGCTGGGATCTGGTTTACTTTGTATTCCGAACCGTCACTTACCTCCACACTCAATCCTGGATAACATAAAACTAACTTTCAAAAAAGTTAGCAATATGTGTTACCAGCTCATAAAGCCACTGAATGATTGACTGAGTCCAATTCTGCTTACTATCTTGATGTAGTAGTCGGACTTGACTGTCATGATAACAAAATCGAACTCTGCTTTACTAGAACACTTGTTCGTTTAGATATTAGGATACAAAGCCGGTCGGTTGGAAAATAGCCAAGCTTAACGTCCGCGGGTGAAGTTGTATAGCTGACTCTACTATGTTATGACATTAAGATGTTTCCTTTAGATAACCAGTATCTGAATAGGTTACCACCGTGTTGTAACAGATGGAAGTGATTATGAAATATCTTTGCTGAATGTAGGACACTTCATCTTGTCCCACAGTTTTCTGTTACAAGATTAGCAAATCATAAATTTCTAATTGGTAGTAGGCTGTATTTAATTGATTGAAAATAGTTTTCCTTTGTCAAATACACTCATACTCCCAGCCATAGAAGATCACAGTTCATCGGATTTTCTTTTCAGGTCCTTTAAAAAAAATTCCATTCAATGTGTAGGCTATTTAATAGATTACAACTATCCACATGTGTCTAACAGCTTCTGTACCTAAAACGTTCCATTTCATAATCCTTTTTTTCGGGTAATTTCTCAGTTTGACATTTAGAAATGTAGCCATTTATTGTTTATATTGTCAACCATGTTTTTACATGGTAGTCATATTAGTTACTAATTTCATCACATTTTGTATTACGTTTTGTCTACACTTTTTCTCATTTACGGTAATAATAAGCAATCTAATAGAACTTATGTAAAGTTACATGTGAGCCGCTTTAAAATAATATAGAAACAGGAAACGGAAAACATTAATCAAGTACTATTGTTCAATACTTGAAATATGATGAATGTTTGGTTGATAATCATTCATTACAGTTATTGTATTGAATCTTTCCCAAAATGCCCTGGTACGGCCGAGAGTAGGGAGAGTCCGCTCCCCCTCTCGAAATGCTCTCACATGGCCACGCCTTTCCCAGGAAAGTCCTACTCATTGCCTTCTCTCACCATGGATGTTGTTCACGAAATTGAAAGGATGAAAACAGAATATCCGTCGCTTCAACAGGGTTGGTGGATATGGAAAGTCCACCTAGGGTAGTTGGAAAACCCTGGTTCCAAACCAATCGTTGGTCACCGGCTACCATGGGACTGCGTCTCCTCACGATGCCTCACTGCCTTGTGGATCAGACCTTTAGATCAAAGGCTCGGGGTGTGGTCCCCTAAGAATACCACCTGTTTCGGTCTGGGCATCCGTGCAATATCACAGCCTACACATAAAAATATGGTGTGGCGCATATATATTTGGTGCCCTCTCGTACCAATATCTATGTGTTGAAATAAGTAAATAGTATTGAATCTAATCAACAGAAAAAACTATGTAAATCAAATGATTCATATCAATTGTGTCAATGAATTATAGACTATATTCAACTGGTGCTGATGTAATTGTAGATGCTTGGACCCCTGTACATGTATTCTATAATTTAAGTTATAAATTTACATAGTTTTAAAGTAGAAAAGAGCAGTTTTAATGAGTTGAATTATAATCTCCCACTCCAAATGCTTTCATATGGCTATGTGCATACAACCACTGCCAGGGGGAGGAAGTCCTACTCACTGCATTCTCGTGAAATTACTGTTGTTTACGAATTTGCGAGGATGAAACATACATCTCGGGGAGTTGGAAAACTCTGATCTGCTTTGCGGATTAGACCTGTAGGTCGAAGTATCTTGGAGTCCACCCCTCTAGGATACCACGTTCTTCGGTTTGGGCATCCGTATCACAGCCCGCACTCAAATCATGTGACTTGTGTGGCGCATATCTATTTGGTGCCTTCTTATGCAAACGTTTATATGTTTAAATAAATAGATACCAATTTGTCACGTGATTTTCACATCGTACTAAATTTATGTTATGGATGATATTCAGTAGTGTATAAGTAGTATGAAACGACCGTGTCATACAGAAAAATTCTTTTAATTCACCTGAAAATATTGAAAACAAAATAGTGATTTGAATAACAGCATAACATGAATTTTTCTTTTAATTACGTTAGTTAATCATCAATTGTAATCTTTATTATGACTAAAACTGTCAAACTTTACGTCCGAGGGAGAATTTATATAGCTGACTATACTATGTTAGGATAGTAAGGTACTTCCTTTATATAACCAGCATCTGTAAAGGATACCACCTTGTCATAATAGACGGAAGTGGTTATGAAATATCTGTTCTGAATGTAGGGCACTTCAAATTTGATTGAAAATCGTTGTCAACACGAATGGTGTAAGTAATAGGAAATCAAATAAACGTAACAAAGAACATTGTGAATACATATATATAATGGTTAAGTGCTCAGGCGCGAAGCCAGTAGGTCCTGGGTTCGAATCTCGTGGGGTGCGGGATTGTGGATGCGCACTGCTGAGTCCCATACTAAGACGAAATGGCCGTCCAGTGCTTCCAGGTTTCCAACGGTAGTCTAACATCAGTTAATTCATGATCTCAACCAAAAACATATATATAAACTGTAACATAAGTTTATGTAACTCCGATTAGTACAGTGACAATCAGCTATGTCCAATGTAGAACCTGGCACGTGTATGCATTGGTTTTATTTGCCATAACATAAACAGCACATGGAGATAAAATTATCAAAACAAATACCAGAGTAGTAGAATTAATGTTAACCATAATTAGGTATGGAAAAAAGAGCGGAAAGAAATATCAAGAGATCTAGATTCTCAGGTTTTATAGGAAAATCTTCGTCATTGTAAATTATACGGAACCAATTTACACAGTTTGTAGCTACTAGTTGCGGTAATCACGCAAACCACAACTAGGTAGTCTACGCCGGTGTTATGTAGCTTAGTTCAATTGTCGCTAACTTCATAGACTGGTTC